CAGGTCCCATCCCACGTGGCCGACGGCCTTCAGTTCTGCCGGAAATGGAAAGTTATGCGTGCCAAAATCAAACCCGAACAAGCCGGTCGACTGTCCGATCAAGCTGATCTTGCAGTTGAAGTTCCCGAACCGGATCCTGGGCAAGGGGACAAAAGCAAGAACACACGAATCGGTTGAGGTACCTTGCTTACCGGTTTCCTATTACAGTCCTAGAGCCCTGTCTATCTCCACACAAAAGACATCCAGGAATCCTGAAACCATTGTGCATGTCGACGCTTACGAAGCCAGCAGCTATTCTGGTGGGGCAGCTTGCGCCAAAATCAGAAAAGCCATTGCTCAGAACCTTGATGGCGATCTCAACGGTGTTGATCGTGTTTTCCGCCACCCATTTCGCCTGGGTGAGCAGATCTGGCAAGCAACATGGACGAAGCTCGAAGAAACATATGTTAGCACTAGGAATTAGGGTTCAGGGTCTACCTGCCCAAAGGGCCCGGTGCTTGGGCCGTAGCTTAGGGCTTCGGGCTCTCTGCCTTGTCCGCCGCAGCGTTATAGCCGTCCGACATCGTGTCGGCCACACTCTTCGCGATATCAACCGGATTCACCCTTCGTCTTCGGTGCTCCCACGGCCAGCTTACCTCAACATTCCAATAACTAGGGTGTAGGATCGAGGATTGCTTGCCTTTACGCAGGCACTCATCAAAACCCCTGACCGGAGACGAAGTCGCCCTTAGCCATTCAGTGAGGACCCTTGCGCGAGCCAGCTGGACGAAAACAAGAAGACCCGCACCGCAACAGCAGTCACACAGATCACAGCAACAAGCAGGAATGCAGACACATGCACACAGGGAGAGCTAAACCCTAAACTCTTTAAGTCTCGCAGGCATCCCTCGAAGAACCTCATGAAGAACCAGTTGCAGACTCGTTCGTGGAAGAGGACTGCTGCGATGTCGCACCTTCACCTGCCAGCTCGACCTCCGGCTCTTCAACCTCCGACTCTGGTTCTTCATGGAACTTGCCTCAGCTTCGAAACCCCAGTAAGCCCATAGTGTAAGCCCTAGACCTTAAATCCTAAGGTCTCCGAGGCGAAAGAAAGGTTTCAGTTTGGGACTCTACGGTCTCTACTTGGAGATGCTGGGGAAAGTAAGTCACTTGAGGATTTAGGCTTTAACGGCTTTAGGCTTTTTCTGTTATCTTGGAGCACTTTTTTCATCTCTTGGTTTTGGTTTTTGGGATTTAGGATCAACGGCTTTAGGCCTTCTTATAGGAGTCGAAGGCAACTAAGTCTCGTGTCTGGCGCTGGCGGGTGTGCTTTTTGATCACACTCGTCAGGATGTTCTGGGCCTCACTCAATCCTGGGCTATGGAGTAACCCAGAGGAAAGAATGCCCAAACTTAAACTCTTATGCCGTGCTGGCTCCCCACAACATGTGTTGAAGGGTACGATATTCACCCAACAAAAGTGTTGAAGGTACAACACTCTGCAACCCTCAGGCCAGAAACCCCAAACTCCTAAAACCCTAAACCCTAGACCCAGACCCTAAACCCTAAGCCCTAAACCCTACACCCCTCAACCCCTAAGCCCAGAATCGTGTTTGGGCATCCTTGTGCTCAATCTCCAAGAAGAGACCTCCTGCGGGGCCTCCCTCACGGCCTTCGCCCTTCAAAGCCTCGATCTCCTTCTAGGGGCTTTTTCTGGGTTTAGGTTTAGAGTTTAGGGCGTTTAGGGCTTTGCGGTACCCGCTCATATGATCTTCAACGAGGATTCCCGTGTACAACTTCGGTTTAGGCTCCCTTGTGTTTTCCTTGGGTTCAAGGTATGTTCTGTGTCCTTCTGTTGTGCTTCGATCACCTTGCGATGCTCATCGATCTGCAGCTGCTGCGTCTCGATGCGGGCTTCATGCATCTCAGCAACCGTCTCAAGCTGCGCGACCTTCAACAACAGGAACTCCAAATTCTTCGCCAGGTCGCCGAAACCTTCGTTGGTCTCGTTATTCTCGCTCTCGTTCTGACCTATGGGATTCGGAATCCCGTTGACGTCCTTCATGTCCGCCTGCAAGTTCTCGGAAACCACTTCCTCAATGATCTTGTTCGAGGTCTCGTTGTGGGAGTCGGAAAACTTGATCGGGGCATTGGATCCGGAGAGTTTGTAGGCCAGCGAAGTTGTCCAACAAACGGCCAGCATCAACATGGTGACGCACATCTTTTGCTTCATTTGGTTAGCACCGCAGCCGCCTTTGAAAGGCTCTCGGCTGGGACGCTGAGATACGGAGTTGCTTGAGCAAACGGGCTACCGGAGGAAAATCGTCAGCAAAGAGTGCAACAACCCGTTGCAGTCGACAGCAAGCCTTGCCAAAAGAGCATTAGGCACACACCCTGTACGTCAGGAACCTACATGTTGACGTTGCTGGTTGAGGGTGCTTTATGGTTTAGGGTTGAAGGCAGCCAAAAGCTGAATCACTTCGAACAAGGTTAAATGTTGCCACGCTGCTCTGCCACAAAAGTCTAGCTCAACTGTTTCTTGCCCTTTCAAAGCGTGCGACGCTTGGGATGCATTTTGCATGCCTCGCCCGTTCGTTTACAGCGCTGCTC